TCTCATTGGCTATTTTAGGACACAAAGTGAGAATCGTTGCTAGAAAATCATTCGTATCTTAGTCAGTTCGTTATGAAAACTTGTAAAATCGAGCTATCTTGTAAAATATGTTGGACTTTAAATGCCTCGAGTGAATTTGTTTCATATTGTCTGCTATTAAGGCTTTTATGGCGGGTGAGCCCATGAAAATTTGGTGAGATTCATGAGATTCGTTTCCATATCAGTTGATCTCATTGTCACATATACGCGCTCAGATAAGCTAACAAGATGGCTCAGTTGTCAATTTTCTTTCAATAGAGTCCCAATACCATTACCATGCATGAAATTCAATGAATTGCGACTAAAACGTGGCACTACAATCCTTTAAATCTGATTCTAAATATACGCGATTTTGCAGCCAGATTTTAGCTATTTCCTAACACACGCATGCATACGCAAACATTGTATAACACAGTACACGAAAATTATCCGTGTGCAACGAAATTGCTAAAGGACCTAACAGAGGTGAAGATATTATGAAAATATAACTGCGTACACAGCTTGATGATGTCTACAATTTGAATTAAGTTTAGTTTAAGAGTAATGGTATATATATTACTTCAACAGACAATCTTTGACAATATAGATTGGGACAATGTAGTTTTCACATGTATTCGGTTGTAATACACCCGATTTCCTGATACATATTTTCCACCCTCCCTCCCCCCACCTGTTTCAATGTTGGCGCCGCGCATCCAGACATCAGATTTTTTTTGGCCCAACATTGAACTGGGGGAACGGGGGGTGCTATTCCTTTCAAATTATATGAAATTACAGCAGCTGTCCCATAGTTTCTGGCAAAGATTGTAGTACACCGTTGTTTTTCAAATACCACGTTATGCACATCATTCCAACATTGCACAACATCACTAACATTTGATTAAGCATGATGTGAAGGATTACCAAAGCCCAGTTTGTGTTATCACGGATAACAGATGCATGGGGAAACCGAAGTAAATATTTTTTGTGATTTATTCTAAAGATATAAAAGACAACCGCGCCTGTGGGTTAAATTATTCAAATACATATATTCAGAGACTTTCGTCGTACCTTGTACTGTTATTTATGCCTGTATTCTAAAAGCTCACTCACACTCAATGATTGGAGGTTCAATCTGAGCTTCTCTTGAGTGTCATTGCTGTTTTTGAATACGACACCAACCCGCCAGCTATTTAAAAACAGCAATGACACTCGAGAGAAGCTCAGTTTGAACTTACTCTCATTGAGTGTGAGTGAGCTTTTAGAATACGGGCGATAGTCTTTATTATATTTCACATCCTTTCTGAATACGTCTTGTTTTTGGTCATCTTTTCACATTGCATATATCATGACGATTTCGCCGTTGGCTTTAATTAGCCAATTAGCAATTACGAATCCTTTTAAATACACGATTACAAAAATTGTTTAGCCAGCTGGGAAATGGGTTAAAAGAAATACAAAATCTAGGGCGTTGAAAGACAATAAACTTAAATTAAATTGAACATTAAATTGATCTCAGTCGCAGCCGTTCTTGTTTACCGAACTCCCTTATTAGATATGGTACATCTTTCTAAAAGCCATTTATAGTAACACTTGTGTATCAATCATTTTCTGAACAGGCGCAGTAAGTTTAACATTCCATGGCATTGGAAAGGAAGTTGGTACTGCAATCACTGGCTACCTATTTACCGCAGTAGGAACAAAGATTGCGTTATGTGCTTATTTATTTTTTTAGCTTTGCAACTAGGGCAGGGTCACCACAACAGCATATGCCAATTACTGTGGGCCCTTTTTTACCTAACCCACCCTGTCAACTTTCCCTGTGGGAGGAAACCGGAGTACCCGGGGAAAACCCACGGCTTTCGGCAGAGCGTTGACTTTTACTCTTTTCACATGGGGACTGGGCTCGAGTCGCACTGAGAAGGTACTTAGTGAGACTCGAACCTGCAGCCTCAGAGGTGAAAGGCAAGTGCGCTAACCACTTGGCCACCGAAGCCCCTAAATAGCTTATTCACTGCTGACTGTGGTTCTTCTTATGATATTTTCAATTTATATGCTAATTACTGCTAAAGATCTGATCGGTTACACGAGAATACGAGAAAATGAAGAGGATGAAGCTGAAAAGGATCTGTTGGAGGAGGATTGATTTGGTTTTAATTTGATCGTGAGCGGTCATGTCATTAGCAAATTAAAATTTGCACATCAACACACTAAAGATATAGATGGAGAATATTTAGCATCGATGCATACAATCAATCATTTGAAGGAGGACAAAACTAAAAGCAACCGATTAGTCAGTATACATGTAATTATCTGTTGTGAAGCGGTAGAGGGGTTATTACAGGGGTTATTACATTATTTCTCCTCTGAAAAGGGGCGCACTATTTGAAACGGACTTATTTGCGGTGTGGAGGCGTAATAGAGGATCTGTGGTGAAGGGTTTTGCAGATGGAAATTTCAAATGCGAATTTTATTCATTAGACCAAACCAGGAGCAGTTTCGAAAATCCTGATATTTACCCATACACCTTATAAATCGATTACCTTGTTATATACATGAACTTGCGGTTAGAGGCTTACAGCTCGACAACTGGACTCTGTAGCTCAGTTGGTTAGATGGTTGCACAGGAGTCGCAGGGCCGCATGTTTGATTACTGCCAGAGGACCTACAGTTGTATTTTTCACAACTGCTCCTGGTTATAGATATTGTCAGACTCGAAATTTGCATCTACAAAACCGTTCAACAATTATTAGTTCTATCTCAAGTGTAGATGCTTTAAATCCTGACCGGTTACGAGAGCAGAGTGAAAGTTAAACAGACCTGTATATTTACTATCAAGTGTTATTATGACTAGAAGCAATAGTTCAATTGTTTTGTTTGATTATATACCTCATGATATTTCAAAATTAATTTCCATGACTGCTTTTTTCACGCCAAAGATGACCGCAATTGATATAGAGCTACTAATTCAATTACGGTTGCCTCTGAAAATCAAAAACTTCGACCAGTCGACCTCTAATCGCGAAATGAACAATGGGCGCGTGTTTATTATGAGATTGTTTATGCCATGCATGTTAGGCACGGGTCACCACTATTTTCCATCCAGGAAACCGCCCTATTGATTTTCTAAAGTCTTTCTTTTTGGATTTTTGTTATTAAATAAATTCGGTTAGGGTTAGAGTTAGGGTTGAGGTTAGGGTTAGGGAGGGTTAGAGTAGGGTTTGGGTTAGTTACATAGTCATTTAATGCCTCTTCCATCTTCTGAAAATGACGTCAGGTCAGTTTGCAGGATGGAAAATAAGACTGACTAACAAGAATGAGTGTACTTATCAACTTGTCTAACGCGAGGAAAAGATCAAAATGGCAGGTATGGCTGTGATATCTAGTATATAAAATTGTATAGACAATTTTCCCACAAATACGGTACTAGGTCAAAACGGCCCAAAGTCAAAACGGCCCAAAGTCAAAACGGCCCCGCTTCAATAATCATATGATTTAGACCAGGGGTTAAAGGGCAATGACAATGACAATGACATGCAGGTGACATTTAACATGTGCGAGTGTCCGTCTCACTAAATTTGCGTGTTTAATAATGTTTATCAAAGAAGGCAAAAATATATACAAGACAACCTCACATGTGGAATCTGTTCACTTACGCACTGCGTTGTGATGCAGTACAAGTACAAATACAAATGACAAAGCATTTTTAAAGGTTTTAAATCCTAAAACATAATTAATTAAATCATACGGCACATTCAAGATTTTAATATCGTATTTCAGCCGCGTTTATACTGCTTGGCGCGCATTTGCTGCGTTATATTAATTTATATACCTATGTTATATACACAGATTTATTACTAATAAATCAACACTATATGATAATATATAAGAACTCACAAAGTGCAGTAACCTTTTTATAAATAAACCTTTTTAAAAGCATGTCATTGTCATTGCAGACCAGAGGCAAAAAGCACAGCCACATAGGCCTACCAGATTTATTAAGCAATCGTGAGATTATATACATGGAAAGAATATGGAAATTATGTTAAAAGCACCTCGTATAATGACGAAAGCACCGCGTATAATGCTCGAACCACTGCGTATAATAGCGAAACCACCGCGTATAACGCTCGAACCACTGCGTATCGACAAAATGCCGTTTGATCACTTACGCCAGCTATGGCTTTCCATAAAAGAAAACCAAAGATGAAAGATGATCACATTGCTTGTTTTCCTTATGCCTGTTTATTAGGCAAGAATAGCCTGTGCATTGTGGTAGGCCGAAATACGCCGAAACGATCGAGATTTCATCTGCCTTACTATTCGTACTACCTACGAAACTATTTAGTAATAAAGATGCATGCCTACTGCATTTTGTTGATTGTTGTACCTTAATTTAAATATGCTCTGGTTTTCCATTGAGAATTTTACCAAACGTTTTTATAACCAACGAAACCAAGTCGTATATATATATATATATATATATATATATATATATATATATATATATATATATATATATATATATATATATATATATATATATATATATATATATATATATATATAAGGTGAAAATGTTCTCGAGTGTGTATTATATATTTCGATACCCAGCGTAAGCAGAAAGATAAAGTCTGCCGCGGCTGGGTCTTGAACCCGCGACGTTCGAATTACTGAGGGTCTCCCAGGGGTTTTTGGGGAACAAGGGAACACTGTAAATTTTACAATGGGAACACGGGAACAAAGGAAAACAAAATTAGGGAACAAGGGAACACGAAATATATTGGGGAACAGGGGAACAAAGCCCCTTTCCTAGAATATATACAAGTGGTACAATGGCATAATGTATTGTAGATGAAAAATGGGCATAATATATCGTTTTCTCCAATTTGTCCAACCAGCTAGTGTACTTGTGGTAGACTGTTCTACGGGCTGCTTGAGGATGATAAATGAAGTTTCTCCTCTAGTCAGATTTTTGAGCAGCCATCATGACTTTTCTCGGTCACATTTTGCTTGCACCTGAAAAAGCAGATACCAACGGCAACGCCCTTCACAATCGACGCAGCAATCACCAGAATCGAAGAGGTATATGACTTCGATTGTCAGTGCATACATAGAACAAGTCAAAGCCTTCCTTAAAACAAATGCCCAGAGCCAAGGTCCGCAAGGAAACGTTTCTTCAGTCGTTGTGGAAGACGAAACAAGAATCTTTGGGAAAAATGCGAGGTCTGCTTCAAAAGTATGATCCACAGCTTTTGAAGTTGTTCAAACTTAAAGCCGTTTGACGCTGGTAGTCGAGAATTGTTTCTCCGAGATAAGGGCAGGGCATGTGATATGCCAATGCAGTTGCAGTTCGACTTTCACTTCAGTTGAGCAATGAAGGAGCACTTGAATACTTCAAGTCAAATCTGACTTGAAGTATTCAACTCTACCAAAGATGGCCCCACCTTCAGCAGCACAGTTGACAAAGTCACAAGTGCAGCAAATAAGAGACTGGCGCATGAAGTATGGTCAAAGTGTCCCACAGAATACCGTGCGGAACATGAGCACTAAAGACAATCCAGGTACTCTGCCGATAAATCTCTATGCCCTGGCACAGCCAGCTAGCGAGCCTTTGGAATTCTCGAAAATTACAGAAAATGGTACCCAAACAGACACACACCATGCCAACACGCACAACATTCTTCATTCCACTGGGGATGTTGTTTTTCTTGCCTCGTACGCCAATTGTGGGCGGATGATGATCTACCATCTACAAGAAATCGTTAGTGTTTCAACAAAGCAAGCAAGAGCCACCATTTTTGAAGGTGACCCTTTCAATCCACTTATATTTACAGAAGAAGGAGTTGTCAAGGTCAATGCGAAAGAAATACCTGGTTCTCAAGTGGAAACCGTTTGCAGGAGATAGCAACCTTGAACTGACAGAGAATGAGTTTCTAAGATAGCAGTCGAGAATGATTGAATGTGTTGATACTGTGACGATTGAAGAAGCGAGAGAAATTAGAGAGCGCCAGGATATCGACCAAGAAAGTGCAACAGATACGAAGCCAAGACGTGCAACAAAGACACCACATAGGCTACTGACGATTTTGTATATTATGATTAGTAAAGGTGATACTTTAGTACTTTAATCGTTGGAACAATTGAAGAAACTATAAATGCAATGCTGTTCATTAGATCTATTTTTTGTTATGTAATAGTAATACTGTCAATACTTCCACGAAGTCAAATAACTATTTTAATAAGTCTTCTTCAGTATTGTATTTTTCAAATGAGCAACATCTGCAGGCTTGTGATTGTATTTTTCTGTTTAATTTTGTTAAAGTGAACGTATGTATTAATATAATGGATGATAGCGAGGATAAACTGTCAAATTTTCTGAATAACGAAACAAAATTTAATTTATAAAGGGGAACAAGGGAGCATGGTTAAATTTTGGAAGGGAACAAGGGAACAAAGCGAAAATTTTGAAGGGAACACAGGAACAGGTACCCCCCCTGGGAGACCCTCAGCATAAAACACGCGCGCTAGACTATAACAGTGATGTTATGATTTTGTCGTGCTTAAATTTTACAATATTTCTCACTAAAATATCTTGAAAATCATTGTAGTCTGTTTATATAAAGCATACAAAGCATATACATCGACAAGGAACCGCAAAACTCAAAGTTTGAACTTCGTGATCGAATGACATAAAACTGACATGTCAACTCAAAAACAATCAACAGGCAACACTCGCAACAGAGACCAGGGTGCATTCCGTGTAAACCTCACGCCGAAGATAATCTGAGGTTGTGTTACCGTGCGCCAAGTGAGGTCAACTTATGCGCCGGCTGATCGCGGGCACCATGATTTTTCATTAATAGTTAGTTGCGTAAAATTTAAACTTGCTAAAAAGGCGTGTAACTGATGAATAAAATGTTTTGCTAATGAGCAATGATGAGTGTTGTTACTGTTGTATCACAAGTTAACTTGCGATACAGTAGCGGAAACAGTAGCGGAAACTTTGCGAATTTTTTTATTTTTTTTTTGAGGGGGGGGGGGGCGAGTGCCGAAGGCACGAGATTTGTAGGGGGGTCTGGGGACATGCCCCCCCCCCCAGAAAATTTGGATCCCTGAAATGGCATTTGTAGCATTCTGAGAGCACATTTTGTAAGAAATTCCAGGTTTTCAAAACATTAGTTAATGGTGCATTCTGGTATAAATCATCATTTCAAAAATACATTTGTGAATGGAATTGCAAGGTGGTTTAATTAATAACAAATGACAATGTAAAATTTATTCGCTAAGTGCGTGACCTTGGAAACGTTAAATCAAAATCCGCTGTATCAAAATTTCATCAGTCTATGCGCAGTTCTTTTGTTGATTATTGAACAGTCCTATTACCTTATATGGTGATAATGAGATTTTTATTGCACAAACGACACCATAGCAACGTCAATCGACCTGCCTAGTAACGTTATCACACAACTGTTGCAACGACCGCGGTAACCTGAACTTGCAGTACGTAATACTAATATTTAAACCAAAGAAGTGAAAGAACACCTGAAAATTCCTACCTATAGATACTGTATAGTCCGTTGTAAATTTGATACAATTAATTGCTATTTTTTTATGAACACTCGGAAGATACTCTATGTGATATATGCATGTATATCATAAATTTAGAGCCTATATACTGATGTAACTGGACATGATCACATATGGTTACATCATATGATAGATTCCTGTTTCAGAAAAATTGTTACTGCGTGCTGAATTTTTAGTTACGTTCCTCAAATTTGGTACATGCAATGACAACTAACTGTAGAAGCCACTGTTTTAGCCAAAATTCACCACCTTCTAACCTGTAGTCGCAAAACTAATTTAATTTGACTTTTTTCAGAATTCATAACGCTCATTGTGTGACTTGTCAGATTATAAATTTAGAATACTTTAGCTTGTTTTTAGCTTGTTTTTATTAAAACTTGCCATTTCGTTGCTGTTGTTATTGTAACAAATAGTGCTTCCTTATATTGTGCTTTCATTTTTCAAATTGAAATCTAGCTAAACATAATTCTAGTAAAATGTTTGGGGGGAGCGATTGCCCTCGCCCCCCTAGTTTCCGGCACTTGTAACCACCATTTAGCTATACTATTACAACCAGGAACACAAATTTCTCGAGTCCCTAAAGAATTATAGAGGCCAATCCAATCACCAGGCGATTATTAATACTCAAAGTCTCGCTTAAACATTTGATGCGCGCCAACCACCAAAACTGAAAACTTGTGCGCCAACCTCGACGTGATTGTGCGCCAGCAATTCAAAACTCACGCCGAAGATCTTCCGCAAAACGTGCATGGAATGCACCCTGGAACAGAGAATGATGTTAAAACCATAGTTATTTCATGATTGACTCGGTTTTCTTTGATGTACCGCGGGCTGTATATAGCATAATGCCCTTGAATACCATAAAGCCCTAATTAGTCAAGAAATAAGGGAGAAAACTAGAAAAATACTTGTCGAAATCGAAAAAAAAGAATAAAACTTTGTTAGAAAACCTCTTCAATCATGAAATAAGTGAGTTAATTACCGAGAATGTCGGGCTTTATGCTATATAAAGCCCTCGAACGCTTCGCGTTCTCGGGGCTGTATATAGCATAAAGCCCTCCTTCTCGGTAATTAACTCTTACATATCTTATATGGTTAAAACAGGTTCTTTTATTCAATTATTGTTAAAATAATTTACATTATTCATGAAATATAATTGTTTTGTGAATGTTGACATGTTGTTTATTTTCTCCGTCGCTGTTCTCTCAGGATATAGTTTGTTTTGTTTTCCCTCAAATCTTAATATTTCCCCCGACTTTGTCTTGGAAAACATTGAAACTCTGATCTTGGGAAAACAAAACCATTTGCCTTGGGAGCAGGAGCAGAGCCTTGGGAGCAGAGCCTTGGGAGCAGAGCCTTGGGAGCAGAGCCTTGGGAGCAGAGCCTTGGGAGCAGAGCCTTGGGAGCAGAGCCTTGGGAGCAG